CTTCTCTTTTGAAATGAACTTTATATAACCAAAAGATATTTGAGTTGGATTTATCTCTAAATACATCTTTACACTTCAAATGTTATTAGACTCAATTTCTAAGAGAATACTTGGTTACTTGATGAGCTTCCTAAGTTGTTCACAATTCATTCTCCTTTTATCTCTTGTACTAATACTCCTTGTGCTAGTTCATAATAGAGAAAAAGCCCCAAAACACCTCTTCCCAGCCATGCACCAATCCTTCTGTTTGTCCTATTGAAAAAAACAAATGAACGACATGCTTTGAAAACAAATCTTACCAAGCAAAGCCCACCCACATGCACAATTAGATACTAATTTAGTTTCCTCCATGAAATTCCAGCAACTTTCACCATCCAAACTCAAAAATTTCAAACCTAATCCAACTATTGAACTCAAACATCCTTTCTCCAGGACCATAGACCTTGAATATCCTTTATATGCTTATCCAGAGCCCAAGAAAGCCCCATAAGCAGAGTGGACAATCATTTGAAATCCATCCCATACCATCTGCTATCGTAAGAACACATCATTTAAATTCATTTGTACACACCCAAGAGAATCATCATGAATCAAAGTGCAAAAACCATAACTTTAATCCTTAAAGAGAAAATATCAAACTCTCCCATTATCTGAAATGCTGATGTACCAAAGCACTTAGCCTGGATGGTCACTCATTGGGTGTTCCACCTAGACAACCTACCTAACCAAGGTTCTAGTGTCCCTCTTCCGTACCCCCAAAACCCCCTTCAATAATTGCACAAAGAAAAGGCTCAGCTTCTCAGTACAATACAAAAAATCCAAAAATACAAAAATGAGAATAATTGGTTTATACCTCTAAGACCTCGCTTACCAAGGAGACGTAGGAGGAGGTTCAAAGTAATCCAGTTAAAGGCAATAAAATCCTATCTTTAGATGCTACGTTTAAAATAGCATACCTTTGCATTCCAAACTGTACTTTTGTGTTCAGATTTTACAGTTTCTTCTGGAAAAAGGTTGCTGCAGAGTGCTTTCACCTCAGGTAAACCATCTTCTTCAATGAAATTGTGTTCAAAGCTGTTCCACTCAAGACAGAGTTAACTTTGTTGGCTATTCCATTAAACAATCACACAATTGTTTGGTTGGTCAAAGTTACAGGGAAGGGGGAAGAAAAACAGTTACAAAAGAAAAAAGGGAACTTGATGGAGTATGAAAATCAACCATAAAAAGAGAGATCGAATAAAAAACATAACCATGAAAGGTACCTGACAGGAGTATGGAGAGAGAGATTAAGGTTTTCCTTTGGCCAATTCACAACAACCTAAAATAAATAAATAATAGTAATAGTAATAAAATGTTTAGTTAAAACAAATATTCAACCATATAAACTTAATGTATCACTGAATTGAGAGAGACCTTGGTAAAGTGAGGAGAAACAATAAGTCTGGGATATCGCTTATCTATAGACAAATAATCCCTCTCAACTTCAACCAAACTGGATGAGTTAACCTGCAATTAGAAAGCAATGTTTACTAGAAGGACTGAAATGAGATTTCAAATTGCAGTAATAAATACCGATCATGATCCAAATTACAGGAAGAGGCCATGGAAAATCTCTCCATCTGAAACAGAGTTCAACCAATTTGTCCACTGAAAGGAAATAGTTTTCAACTAGAACAGCTATAATTCCAAGACATCCATACTTCGCTACCAAATAGCTTCCCTTGAGAAGCTTTCCAAAAAGAAACCCCAGAAGCTCTGAAGGGATACTTTCTTCATAAAAGGGATACACTTTGTGAAGCTTTTAGAGAGTAAGCATAAGGAGCAGGGAAGACAATCCCAAGAAAGAAACTAGAGGAGCAAGAGTCTAATGAAACCAATGAAAATACAATAGTGAAAGGGGATTCCAAGAATGATGAGATCAAATGTAAACTAAAAATCAACCTAAACAAAGAAAGCACAGGTTTAATGCAGAAAGAGAAATGTCTAGGTTGTGGAAAACCAAGTAACCAGAAACGACAGCCAAATACCAGAAGGAAGATGCAAGCATCAGAACAATAATAGGAAGAAAAGAACAAATACAAAGTGTGGATTCACATCAGAAAGGGCAGACTCTGGAAGGTAGAGAAGTTCAAATTATTGCGAATGAGGAAGCTCTTGCAATGCTCTTTTACCTTGCAAACATATTCTCTCCTTTTTTCTTTAACAGGTGAATGACGCCTTCAGCATAACAGAACACAAAGTTAGATACGAAGACTGAGATATTTAGAACTAGAGCAAGATGGAATATTAAACTTTGAGATCCACCTATGCAAAGCTTCACGACGCGGGGAATCTCTTCGCAAGGGTCGAATGTCCTTGGTCAAAGAGGAACCACGAAGGTCCCTAGATCTTAGTGGAGTCCTTTCCCGCTTAATTTCAAGTGCACGTTTGCGCTCTCGCTCTCTCTCCTTCTCCTTCTCCTTCTCCTTCTCCTTCTCCTTCTCCTTCTCCTTCTCCCGCTCTTTCTCCTTTTGCCGCTCTCTCTCCTTCTCCCGCCGCTCCAATACGCGTAGGCGTTCCCGCTCTCGTTCTCGTTCTCGTTCTCTTTCTCGTAGCCATTCCCTTTCCCGCTCTTTCTCCCTCTCTCTTTCTTTCTCTCTTTCACGTAAATGTTCCCGACGACGCTCCTCCTCTCTCAACTCGAACTCCCTGAGATAACCAACCCTCTCATCTTTGTGCTCCTCAATCCTAGGATGACCACCACGTGATAATGCACTACCAAGATAATCAGAATCAAGAGAAGCATGCAGCCCTTTTGAACCATAGTCCCTACCAGGTGGTAGGCTCACTCCATAACCCGGATTTGCAGAACTTGGAGGATACATGAGATCATCCGCATTTCTTCGTGGAGGGGCACCTAAAATGGACGGAGCATGTTGTCCACTATAGGAAGAAGAACTAAGCGTTGATACACTGTGAGGATCTGCATCCATTCTTCCTCCATAAGGCATAAGCTCTTGAATGGTATGACGACTAACAGCGCCCCTTGCTGCAAGATAATCAGCTTGTCTGCCAGAAATGTTTTGCTACTCAGTGTAGTAAGCAATATATTACCATCTACGGTAGCAGTCAACAAACAATTACCATGAAGGATACACTCAATGTATTAAGAAATGGAAGATTGACCTTCAAACTTAATTTTTGAGATAATGACAGTGAGTGAACAGTCAAATATGTTAAGCACAAGTATATTCACATGAAGTGCAAAAGAAACATTAAATCAGAAAAAATACCTCAAACCCCCATCAAGGGAAGCAGATTGAGCTTTAAGTAATTGTTCTCGTCGTAGTAGGACTGCTTGCTCAACACGATCATATATGTCAGACTGTTGCAAAATATAGTTAGAACAAATTCATGTTGCAGAAATCATTAGATAAACATGGCTGAAGCAAATTTTTATTCAGGAAGAGTTGAGAAAATATCATAAGCAGGATCAACAAGAAACAGAGGAAATGTTATGAACTTCCTAGACCTGATGCTGATGACCAAAACCAATGGAATCAGCATAACAGCCAGCTGGTTCACTTGGCAAGTCCCTCCCTATGTAACCACTCTGTCGTTCACCAAATTGTCTTCTCTCTACTGTGGGATAGTCAGGAATCTTTTCTTCATACATTTGATCACCTTTGTGACTATAACCATGACTTGATGATGAGACATAATCACTAGATGTGAATTTAGGTGAATCTGTCACAGCAGAAGCATAAACAGAACGGCCTTCCAAAGTTGATGGTGCACTGCCTTTAGCATTTATTGCAGGAACCTAATTCATAAAATGATTTATTAAACTTGATGATAAGTTTACCTTTCACTTCCACCAATTTTCCATTAACAAAAAAATAGTTTCAATGTTTCATCATTCTAGAGACCAACATGAGGTTTCCTTAGAGGGCAAATCATCAGGAATCAAAGTATCAAACACAAATATAACAAATTCCACTGACCTGCTGAGTGCTGCCTAATGTAGCTGAACTATATATGGAGTTATATTGGCCCCCATAATGAGCTGCAGCAGATGGATGGGTTCTATATGTACCAACCTCTGCTCCCTGAGAACTACCTAGAATTGAGGAATGCCGAGAAGCCATGGAAAGTTGAGATCCCCCATCAGGACCCCCAACAGAACTTGCAGCATAACCCTGAATCTTTAAATTAGCAATAAATAGCACATATCTCCAGATTCAGATTTTATAGGCAAGGACAAAGGTAGTAAAATATCTGTTTTAACTGAAATCCAATTGCTCACATTTTATAGCCAATGAAACAGATATAGATTTTCAAAATATAATGTTACTAGCCACTAAAAGCCTCTATAGAAGGAAATCCAGGAAAACTTAATTCTAACCAGTCCCAACCTATAGCGTTTTGCAAAATTTGGCTGCTATATATCACACTTGTCAGACAAGGGCTTTTACAATTATACACAAAAATACCCACTAACCATACAGATTCTTTAGCAGTAGAAAAATAAGTTTTTGGTGCCAAATCATAGGCTTGCATATCTTTGCACCATCAATCAAGTGAAAGTGAATTACTTTATAACAGTACAAACCAATTGGGTTTTGTCAATCAAGATAGCCTTGGTAGAACTTGTACAACCAAAACCATTTACTAGCATCAAGTTATACAGAATGCTGAAGTGTTTAGCTGCAAGAAAGAATAAAATTTTGACAAACATTGTATAACAGGCAAAAAAAACCCACCTTTTTGAGGACAGTGTACAATAAAAACATTCACTAGCATGTGGCATGAAGCTATCTACAATGTTGAAGTGTTAAGCTACAAGGAAAGATACAATTTTGACAAACATATCATTGATATACTCACGTTTTGGCCATATCCAGATTGACCACCATATGACTGCTGCCCCCCATATGCATTATTCCCTCTAGATGGGTACATTGTTCTGGTGCATATGTTGAATCAAAATAAAAACCTGCATTCAAAAAAAAAATCTCGTTAATAAAAACCCAAAAAAATAAGAAAAAAAAATCTCATCCCATAAAACAATTTGCAAATTGAAAGGGCGAACCCAATTCTTGCTTTTCATTTACAACCACAGATTGGAGAAGCCCAGAAACAGAAAACGAGGATTGTTGCAATGAATTTGGACAAATAAATGGAAATTTTCAAAAATGGTAAAGATAAAGCGACTTACTTGAGATGAAATTCTGCGAGACAATTATATTGAAAACGGAAAAAACCCTAATGCATGGAGGAGAACTGCGAGCCGGGGACTTTGAGAGGATGACTAAATACCAAGGGAAAACCCAAGGTTAAGCCCCTAGGCTTTCACTAGTTTCTAACATAATCTCTCAAAGAAAAAAAAGTGGCAAGCAGACCCTGAACGCTTGGGTTTGAACAAAATAGTCCATATGTTAAGGGTAGAATTAAGTGTAATCATGTAAAAGTTAAACAATCATTTTCAGTTTTTGCTTGCATGTCAATTTTTTTACACTTAAATATTGATTTTGCAATTCTTTTACACTTAAATATCTAAAATATATATCTTAAATTTCTTAAAATTGAAAGTCAAACAACTAAATCTCATGTTATATTAGTATCTAAATGTAAAAAACTTACCACATAAATGAAAAACAAATGATTGACCATAAGTGATTGCATCATTTACACAAGGGTTAATTTGTTCAAATTTAGGTGTTTAAGAATTTGCATGTCACTTTTTTTCTTTGAGGGCTTATATGAGAACATAGGAGAAGTCTAGGGCCTTAACACTAGTTTTTGCCAAATACTAATGGTCAAGGATTGGATAGCATCATACTCGTTGCTTATTCACCGGAAAACAAAGACTATTTGCTTTTCAGATGGGCCCTTTTTACCTTCAAGCCCCCCATGTCACACCACCGATCCGTAGCCGCTGGGGCACAACGTGGTTGCCCAGATGGGAATTAGTTCGCGGGTCGAATGTGGAACTAGGCTAACTATTACACGATATAAAGCAGAAAGTTTTGCAAAATAGAGTGGTTAGTTGTTCCTGCTCTAAACGCCAGTGGGCTTGTTTGTTAGAGTTTTTCATTTAGTGGCCGTTTGGTGAGACAATAGTTATAGTAGGAAAGTGATTAGAGAAGTGTTATGTAGAAAGTTAAAAGTTATTGAATAAAAATTTGATAAGTTTTGTATTGAAATTTTGTTAACATTTTATTGAGTTAATTTTTTTTGTGTTTTTGTAAGAAATTAATATAAAAAAAAGTTTGTAGGAAAATTGTTAAGTAAATTCTATATAGAAAAATTTGGGAAATTTTTTTTCTTTCAAAAAGTATAAGAAGAAAAGTTTATAAATTTGAAATTGTGTCAAAAAATAAAGGTTAAAAATATCATTTTTACTCTTTTTTTGTGATAATATTAATGTATGAAAATATTTTAATAATCTTATAAGGGAAAAAGTTTGAAGGGGAAAGTTTCCCTCAACCAAATAGACCTTTAAAGCTTGCTTTTGATAGAACCACTACAAACTTTTTATGGAGATAAGAAGTTGAGCAAAATACTATTTATTGAAATTTTATTGACTTGTTATATTTCTTTATCTTTCTATTTATTTGTTGATATAGCTAATTCTTGATTAATTTTTGTGTCTTAAATAATGTTTTTATATAAAATATGGATGACAATTGGAATTTGTTTAGTTCAATTCATAATTATTGTTGAGTAGTTTTATTTAAGGAAAAAAAAAATTCAATTGTGTAAGGTCAAATAAGAATTAGACTAAGGAATGCCTTTAGCCACTAGCCAAATCTCTCATGGTAAAAGACTTCTTCCCATTGAGGTGGGTTAAAACGTAATTGTCTTCCTCACCCTTTTTCCCAACAGGTGCAATCACTTGCCTTGTCTTGTCTAGGAAAAAAAAAAAAAAAAGCTATAGACTAAAACGACGCTATTTCTTTAAGCTTTTATTTTAAACCCCTAATTTGTCAAAAGTTAGAGAACACACAAATTTGTCTTCCTTCAAGGCTTCTTGCTAATTATGATCCAACAAATTCTAATGCTACCAAGCACCACAATCCTCTAACAATGCACATTTGGTGACCAATAGATGAGATATTTGGGCATTGACAAAAGTTGTGAAATTGGGTTCTGTATGGTAACTAAAAAATGGGGAATGAAGAAGCTAATAGCAGTTGGGTAATGAAGCTTGATGCTGCTGGAATGGCTAGAATGGCTAGAATAGCTACAATGGTGGTGGCAGTAACCAGGAAAGGGAACAAACCAGTGAAGGTTGATTTTGAATTGAAACTAAAATCTTATTAGGAGGTTAGAACTTTTACTTATTTTGGTCTTAAGGAAGCAAAGGATTTGTTGTGGAAAAGACTCTAGCCCCTAAAGAAAATGGAAAACAGATAATTGAGAAAAAAACTCATAGCGCATGTTTTAATCCTAAAGAGTTTTCTAATTGTGCCCATGATTTCTGAAGGAATAGCTAAAACATGGTTAGACTTCTGCTGCTTAATTCATTCGATATTTATGTGCTTGCTTGAGTAGTGCATTTTTGGCTTGGACTTGTGTTAGAAGATTATAGTTTCTTCTAGTTTTGCCTCATAACCAAAACATTGGCTGAAGTTTTAGAAATTAGATTTAAGATATCTGTAATGCTTGCTCTTGAAAACCAAATAATGAAATAAACCAATGTCCCTTATCATGAAACAAAATGAACATGCTCTCTAAAGTAGTCTACCAACATGATAAGCCATGTTTGTTGTTTGTAGCATCACATCTTGTCCTAAGATTGTTTTGTTATTTTGAGCTTCAAACCATGTGCCATTGATAGAATGGTCATCATTCTATAGTTAACAGGGTGGCCTGGAACCAGAGTGAATTTGAAAAATCTACACAGAATTGCCAATGCCATCTTCATCTGGAGATAGGCAGAGTCCTTTCCCAGACATATCCTTGGTCCTGCCTGCATATCACCAGAAATCAAAAAGCAATGAGCCAACTGTTTTGTTCAATAAAATGTGAAAGTACCCATAAGTTGTATAACTAAAGTTCCATGTGTTTTGTTCTTCATGAGGGGCAACGAGGATTTTATTTCCAAGGATTCTATTTCATATTGTGTATATACCTGAAATGCAGTGAACTTGAACGGAGATGCATTTTGGAAGAAGCCATCTTTAAGCCATCGCTCAGGCCTAAAGGAAGTTGCATCAGGACCCCAATTGTACTCCATCCGACCCATTGAGTAAGGAACATAAGTGACCATGCCTCCTGCCTTCACTTTGGTTCCATCAGGCAAGACATCATCCTCCAAGATCCCTTTTGGATCCTATAAGCATATAGTATTCTAGATTAGTTTAGCTTTAAATTTATATATTACATAGTTTTTTCATTGTGAGATTTTCATTTAAAGGCCTCCTTTGGATGTTGAAATTGAAGGCCATCACATGCAAATCTACTTGGTTACGTTTCATTTGCTCCATTATTAATATGCAAATGTACTGTGGCCAACCAATTGAATTGGGTTTTAAGATAGTGCATACCTGAGGGACTGCAGGATATAGGCGAAGTGTTTCAGTAATCACTGCATGCAGAAAATATAATTTTCCAAGTGAATCATAATTTAAGAGTTCTGTGTATTGTGTTGCTCTTTGATTGAATGATTCTAGGTCTCCTGTGTCAAATTGAAGCAACGAAACATTCTGTTCTTTTGCCCTTTCCTCTTCGAAAGCCTTCAACTCCAAGTAAAGCCTTTCAGCTACATGGGCGTGGGTCATTATCATGTATAAAGCCCATGTGAGAGTAGTAGCTGTTGTGTCACGACCCGCAATCACAAAGTTCAGGACAACATCTCTTAGGCTTTTGTTAGTTAAATTACTATCTGGATCTTCACTTAGCTCGATAAATCTTGACAGTATATCATGCTTTATCTGACATTCGCATCATAAAATAGAATCTCATGGATAGATCATAGATATGTGATTGTCACTCTTTTATAAATGTTAGGAAAAGAAAAGAAACTTAGACATCAATTTGCTTGGAGGTTCAATCATCTTACCTTGCTAGTTTTGCTAGTTGCTTGACTGTCCTTTATCTCTGCTTTCCTTCTCCTTATGACAGAGTAGGTGAAATCATCAATGACTTTAATGCTCTTGTCAAGAAGAGCTTCTGAGCCTATATTTAGAAATTTCTTCACTTTCCAGAGTGGATCGATGAAACGAAGTGTCACAATGATGTTTGCAGTATCAAATGCCTGAGCAAAGCTATTCTTCGGAAGATTGGGGTCCAGAGTTCCTATTTCTACACCAAATCCCACCTTACATATGGAGTCCAAAGTCATCCTCATCAACAAGTCCTACAAAGGGCAAGTTTCAAACTCTATTTTGACATGAGAGAAGTGAAAAAAAATTGCATATATAATTGATAGTAGGTTGTTTGAACAATCACCTGCATGTCTACTTCTTGGTTGGAAAATGACACTTGACTAAGAATGGAAAGAAGCTTTAAGCTATACTCTTTAAAGACCACAGTGCTGAAATCTCTCAAATTCTTGGACGCAAACTCAAAACTTGCAGTTTTCCTTTGTTTCCTCCACATTTCGCCATCTACATTGAAAATACCATCCCCAAGCAGAACTTCCATGTATGAGTGGTATGTTTCACCCTTGATTTAAAAAGAATTTATAAGTTAGCTATTTATTCCATGTGAATGACATTTTTTTTTTCACAACATATGTGAATGACTTTGTTGCAAAAAATTAGGAGATTTACCTTAGGGTAATTAGCAAAGTTGGTCTTGAGAACATGTTCTACGTTAGCAGGATCAGCAATGTAAGTGTAAGTTGTGAATGGCATTGGGACAACAATAGTTCTTGAGTCAGATAGGTACTTGACAAGCCAGTCATGCATCCGATCATAGTTCATGAATTGCTCAATGGCGGCTCCAACGAGTGGCCATGTTTTGGGGCCTTTCTTTCCCCTCTGACTCCATCTGTGGATGAAAATCCAGGACAAAACAATGCAAGATAGAAACAGGATTCCACAATTGCATCCATCCAGAAAAGAGAAGTCCAAAGCAACCTTCTTTTCTTCTCCCATTTTGGACAAAATGATAATAATAATAATAAGTGTAGAATTCAATGTTTTGACAGAATTGCCTAAAGGAGATAGTTTCTTATAATACTAGTATGTTAAAGAAGTTGTTAAAATGTGGGTACGTTGTGAAGATTATGAATCAACTAATTGTTTGTCAACAATCTTTGCATGTTCTAGGTTAAATCTATTTTCCCTAGGTATCATTATCCTTCAATTGTTAATTTATTGGGAAATG